GCTGTTTAGTGTGAACCAAGAGCTGGTATTCTATTCAGATATTCATTTTATCCCATATAAAATGGAAAAAAATAACATTTACCTAACTATGTTATTATAAGTACTAGCAGTTACACATACCTGTGTATACACACATACATACTGACTTCTTTTGAGGGAAATTAATATTGACCTATATTTGAGACTGAGTATACCCAGCCACTCAAATATTAATATAACAATTCCATGTTAATTTTGTCAATAAAAACAAAAGAATCTTGTTGGGAGCTAGAGAGATGGCTCATCTGTTAAAAGGGTGTGCAGAACTTCTAGGAGACCAAAGTTTGGTTCCATGTTAAGTGAATCATAAATACCTGTAACTCTAGCTCCAGGAGATTTGACATTCTCTTCTGGCATCTGTAAACACTCGCATGTATGTGGTACACACACACACACACACACACACACACACACACACACACGTTTACCAAAATGCATATGACAGCCAGGTGGTGGTGCACACCTTTAATCTCGGAACTCAGGAGACAGAGGCAGAAGGATCTCTGTGAGTTCAAGACCAGCCTGATCTACAGAGCTAGTGCAGGAGAGACTACAAAGATACACAGAGAAACAAACAAACAAACAAATAAATGAATATGACAATGGAGTCCTAACTTCTAATACTAAAATATGTAAAATTATTTAGATATAAGTAATATGATTTGTCCTCTATTAAAAGAGAAATTTGGGCACTAGGCAATCATAAATAGATGGAAAACACTGTGAAGAGATATAGAAAAAAGATGTTGATCCATATGTCAACCAGCACAGAGAAGTTATCAAGGCTGTTTATAAAATTTGATTTCATACTTCAAAACTGCAAGGAAAGACATACTCACCTATGACAGTAAGTTTGTGCTTCTTGGAATAAACCTCTACTAATACCATATTAACCTTGACCCATCATGGTCAGAACTGTCTGTGACTCAAGTTCTATATTCTGTAGTGAGGAATAAAGTGTAAACAAACTGGAATTTCCATGCCAGCTATTTTTAATCCGACTATCCTATATTCAAACATAAGCAAGAGATGTACAGCCCATGATTTTAAAATCATCATTGGCTCCCACTACATATCTTATCTAGGGTATTCAAAGACATCTTAAATCGTTTGAACTCACATAAGCAGTAGATTCTTTCATGATGAAACTGACTCTTCCAACAATTCCTCATACAAAGAATCCAAGGCCATCCACAAGCATAAGCAGAAACTACAATGATTCTGTCCATTTTGATTGTAATCTCACAAAAGTTTATGAAAACAAAATTACTGTATCATCCACCAATTCCACTTTTGGACTTTAAAAATGTGAAAAGTGGGTTCTTGAGGAGTTTTGTGTATACATGGGTTAACCACACAGAAAGACAAATATTTTGTTAATTTACCTATAGGGTTGTCAAATCATTGAGACAAAAAAACAAAACAAAACATAACTGATTTTCAGGAATTGAAAGAAGGACAGAATGTAAAGTTCTTTTTAGTGTTTCCAACGTTTCAGATTTCTAAGATGAAAGGGTGTTATGGACAGTTTGCTGTAGTGGCTGAATAAGCATTATCCACGCATTTAAAAACATTCAAATAGACACCTTAAAACAGCAAGGAGGGTAAATTTTATGTATAAATGTTCTAGAATTATAAAAATGTAAAAAATAAATGAACATTAGTATCTTTTAATTCAGTAAACTGGTTGATGATTTTTATGAAATCTCCCTTAAAGTCAAAGAAGCATAGATATCTTTAGCTATTACTTCTGAGAAAATCTACTAGCCATTCCACACCAAGATGCCAGGTCCCTGCTAATTAAATGGTCTTCCTTCAATATCCAAAAGTCATCATGATGGTGGCAGCCGTAGTGTTAGAAGTGGGCACACAGAAAAGAAAGGTTTTTTTTTTTTTTTAAGCATGTGCTGTGTGCTACCATTGCACTAATATTTTACATGACCTATCTAACTTTCACTGCATTAATACAATCTAAATATTCTTCTAATTTTACAAATGAGGAACAAAAGAACAGAGATTTAACTGGGTCCCATTAATAGTAAGTGGTGAAACTTTAAAAAAATCCTATTGATGTATCTATGTTGTCCTCTTTGTCATTATGACCTTTGAAGATAAGGATGTTGATTTGTTTGTTACTGAGTAAAGCAAGGAGCAGGCACTCAATGGCTACATAGAATAAAAGAAGTAAATAAGGAGGGCAAGGGATAAGAAGGATAGAATTACATTTAGCCAGGCTATCTTCTCAATAAGTATAGATTTTCTTCTTTTATTTACCTGTGAAATCACAGGGAAGCTGAGACTCTACCCTGGAATGCCCTATGGTTGACATTTTGTCTTTGAGATTTTACACAATCACTGCAGTGCTGACGTCTGTCTGCACTGTGGCTAATGCTCTCTCTAACTCACACATTTTGAGAATAACGAAAATGTATAGCTTAACACTAAGGATAGGGAGTATAAAACAGGTACATGATACCGGCCTTTTACCCAGTAATAAAAAAAAAAAAAGTTAAAAAACTGTCCCCATAGGAAAAAAATGCCCAAGTCTCATCAAACCTGAAAAGCTTAAACAAGACATATTCAGAAGTTATTACTGGCTTGAGACTTGGAATTATTCTAATATGCTTACCTCAAGCTCCACAGTGTAATCCTTGAAAGGCCCAGAGCAAGTCTTAGCTGCATTGTTTTGATATGACCTTTGTTATGTATTTGCAATTGGGATTTAGTGGTAGGTAGAAACCATAATTATAAATATGTAGATAGTAAATGGATAGGCTCCATTATTTCTGCTTAGTAAGACAACTACATACACTTTTAATATGTCCTGATCTTACCTGACCCAAAGAAAGTTCAGACACATTTTATTTCTGTGGAAGCTGGTGAGCTAGAATTAAGCATGGAGGGAGCATCCTTAGTGTGGAAGGCTAAGGCCTAGATAATCTAACAGAGGGTTTGCTTATCCCTCTGCTCCAAAGAGTTTCCAAAGTGCCATGGAACCTAAGTATGGATGCCTCAGAATTTGTGTGGGGAGAAAAAAATTACTTTCCTCATTGTCAAAAAAATTAGGATAAAGCAAATACTGGTATTTTAATTCTTGATCTATAACAATGACAATGGGTTGATTTTACATCATCACTTGTTTTTCGAAACAAGATTTATCTATATTTTTGTTTCTATCTAACAAGCAATGTGAAAAGTTAAGTAAGCCCATAATATTCATTCAAAATGCATTAACAGGCCACGTGTCTCTGGGGCACAGTCACTCTAATTTCTAATGTCAGTCAGGCATGTGTCATTCCATATGAATTCACTCAACACGTACTGACCAACTGCTATGGACCAGGCACTATGTTAAGGAGACACAGGCATGCCTCCACTTCTTTATGTGTATTCTCCTACTTCCCATGAGGTTAGCTCAGGCCATATTACACTGATTTATTATGTATAAACCAGATTCCATGTATGCTAACAGAAAGAAAAATACAGCAGCTCTAAGACTTAGAATTTGTGTGATCAAATTCTCATGGAAAATCCCTAGTTTTTCTAGGAGAATAATACAAGCCATATGAATAAATTTTCAATATCAGGAATCTGGGACAAATGAATAAATTAATTAAATACCTTTATATAAAATTCCAGCTGTTTGTATTTCACTTATAGAACTTTACCTACAGTAAATTCAATAACAGTTCAAGTCTCTTAAAGATATAAGAATTTGTCAGAACATAAAGCCATTAACAAAAGAAACTTAATACCACTACCAGGAACTCTCGGAAAACACCAAGGAACAAGATTTGCTTAAATGATAATATAGCTGCCTTAAAACTTCATGTGTATTTTAGCCCCTCTTCTAGAATTTACTATTTAATTTTCATTTTTTCCCCAACTACTTCAACCCCAACTGCAGGAAAGACTCACATATAAGAAAAACCTTCTTACGATATACTCTTGTGTTTTCTGAATGTGCCCCATGTGTCCACTAATAGCCAAATGCTTTCAAATCTGTTCAGCTAAATGGATCAATAACTACATCCAGCCCCACATAGTGGGGCTGCCAACATGGTAAAATCAAGCCAAACACAAAATATCTCTCCTAGGACAAAAATTATCAACACAGTTTTCTCGAGAGATACATTCTCTGAGCTACACTGCACATACATTATCTAAGGCAGACATGACATGCAAAAAATATTTGAGACACAAAACAAAGAATTAAGTAAAAATATTTGGACATGATAACCAGTGAGTTTTATAATGGACCAATGTAACAGTCCATGGGCTACATCTCTTATCTCTCCAACTCAAGAGTACACAAACCACAAACTCACACCAGCACAGGCAAACTGTTGACAAGCTTATCTGTGCTTCCCTCGCATATGACACAGCTGTGAGCACCAATTGAGCAGGTGCAACCAAGCTTTCGAGAATTCCTGCCTGTTGCCCAGGAACCACAACACAGCATGGCTGAAATTTTAAACAGGTGCAAATATTCCCACCCCTTTTCTGTTTATCTGGTGCTTGAGGACAGTGCAAAAGAAAGTAGAGCTGTAGGCACTCCCTATCCAAAGCAACCTCTACAAAAAGAGAAAATTGGAAACAATAAGGTTTGAAAAAAAGAAGAGCTGTCAAAGGCTGACTCTTCAATGATCTGACCGCACACTGTCAGTCGTTTTAACAGTACAGTTCTATAAAAATACTGCATACTCTTCACCAGATGAATGCTTTGTAATTAAAATTATTCTGGCTCATCAAATCTTAGATACGTGTACCTGATTCTTACTGTGAACTACAACGCAACGTATCTACAAAGTTATAGCTCTTTGGAACTGTCAATAAGACAATTGATCAAAAATTTAACATTTGCATATTACGACTTCAACAAACAATTTCAATATAGAAAATGTGATATATCCACAGTTAATACATACATTCAAATAGTCATAGGTAGGTCATACACATACCTGTGCAGGGTGAGGCACAAACAGACTTGCGATGGATCAGATACTCTACAATGTAAAACAAAGAAGTCATCTAAGTAAAAATTAATTTACTGAACCAAAGCTAGAATTTATAGTGAGGCAACTTCTTCAGAAAAGTGGGAAGGATTGCAGTGCATAAAGGTGGAGTAGCTTATATGTATATGTGTCTATAGGCATTTCAGTCCACCCTAACTCATACATCTGAATGTATGTACAGAGTACCTCAGCAGGGTCACTGAGGGACTAAGATTCACCATGGCCTCTACAATGCAAATGTTCTCACTAAAGGACAAAGAAAACACTTAAAATTTTTTCCCTTTGGTGTTCTTCGAGGACTAATGCCTTGCTAATACAAATATGACTGCTGCTCTCTGAAACAAAACTCTTCCAGTTCATCTGTACTCATGCTGCTGGAACACTGGTGAAAAAGCAAAGTGCTTCCATGGAGCTGTACACACACACACAGAGAGAAGAAATAAAGAAAAATTTGAATGCTCCTTTACTTTGTTACAGCAGAGCAATTCCAGACTGAGTCTCTTAGAAGTCATCCTAGCACATGGGGCATGCGTGCCCAACACACTGACATACCTACCAGCAAAGCAGGTATTCATAAAGAAAATCATGAATGTTTAGCTTAAAACTGCAGCTGATAATCACATTTGGAAAAAACTGAGTTTAGATGGTAGATCATTATAACAAAAAGGCTACTAGTGACAGTTTAATAATTCTTTAGAAATATAAAATAAAGTATAAAATTTATATGTCTAAGCACAGCTGATAAAAGCAACATGTAAAGGTCAGTAAACCTTGCTCAAAAGTGTGTAAAGGTAATGATATTTATGATGGTTTAATAAAATACATAAAATGGGCATGAGCATGTGATGTGGGATTCCCCTTTGTATGCTATGAATACCACTGGTTAATAAAGAATCTGCTTTGGGCTATTGAAGCACAGAATAGGGCAAGACTGGAATTCCAGGCAGACAGATGTAGAGGGAGTCAATGAGACTCCATGTAGCCACTGCAGGGGATAGAAGCCAGATCCCAGACTGAACCTTACCAGTAGGCCACAACCACATAGCAATGCACAGATTAATAGATATGGATTAATTTAATATGTAAGAGCTAGATAGAAATATGCTTAAGCTATTGTCCAAAGAGTATTGCAATTAATACATTTTCTGTGTGATTATTTCAGGTCTGGGTGGCCAGGAACCATGCAGCTTCTGTCAAAAGACTTGTACTCCAAAGTGGGGCTGACTGCATCCACATAAAACCTAAGAAAGCTTGGAAAGGAAATTAAGACACAAAAGAACAGAGTTAAGCATGGCTTCTTGGTAGCCAGCATTTTTTTTTTCCGGATGGGCTCTGTTTGCTGGCTGCAAACAGTAGTACCTCAGCTCATTTAACAGAAGACTTACTGACTCAGCATAAGAAACAGTGGCTTCCTGGTTTGTGCTGGCAGCATGAATTCTGACTCTTTCAGAAATCTGAGCACTTAAACAGGGTTTCTGAATAAGATGCTACTGGTTGAGTAATGGTGACATAGACCCTCCCGCAACTCTGAAGCTAGGGCAGCATGCATGGCTCTCAGAGGCCATGTTGGACTGGGTGGAGGCAAAGGGCAGAACCAGAGAGTTGGTCCTGGCCACACCCTCTTAGCAATTAAAAAAATAATTACAGATACAGCGCGCAATAAAGACAAGTTCAGATGGAAAGACCTCTAAATGGGTCACACAGTGTTGGATAAATAAACATAGGCTTGAAAGTGGAAAAAGAATGTAGTCAGTTATAAAATAAAGTAAATGGCTTTAAAAACAAGAGAAAGTCTTTAAAAAGACAGAGTACAGTCAAAAAATTAAAGGAGTAAAAAAAGCCATGTAAAGATGAAATATATACAGAGAGTTTGGATTATGTATATTATTGTGATTTGAGTTTTTTGACTATGAATGAGTTAAGTACAGAGAGACATTTTATAGTACAGGTTGCTAAGCTAAACCAATATATATGTTTTAAAGGTATCTTGACGTCAAAATATGGTTCTAAGGATATGCTGTTTTGGAAAAGAGGTTCTGTTTTATTTCCTGTGGATTCTTTCCAGACTAATGTGGTTTAATAGGCCAAGATTCTCTGAAAGGTCTCCATGAATGCCAAAAACTACAGCTTACAGAGAACTACACCCAAATTCCCAAAAATTGTTTATAAATGATTGTTTTCATTTAAAGGGGATTCATTGTAAGTGAATAATGGTCACAGTCAATTTCTGTGAAAAATACAAGGGGGATATGATATAGAGATGAACACTTTGCATTGGTATGGATCTTGCTTTATTAATACAAATTTAAAGGTCAATTTTGTTATATGTATATTTATGCTTTTGATTCAGGTATTGCATTTGTGAAGCATATTTAAAAATGTAATGTATAATTAAAAAATACAGGTTAATAGATAGTGATCTATAACAGTCAAGCTTGTGGTTAAGTCAGTTAGGTTTTCTAGATGTACATAGAAATATTTCAGATGGATAGTTATTCTTCAAACCTTTCAAAGACTTACAAAATATGGCATTTAAAATGTTTTAAGAACTTAGGACTTTTCATGACAATGAGACACATCTGTTCCTGACAGCACCAATCTCCTTCAAGAGAAAGATGGGCATTGAAGAAGCTTTTTATGAAGCTGGTTAGCCATATGGGCAAGAAACTGCTCTTGCCTGAACTGCATGATGCTAGGCTGTATGAACTGGACATGCAGGACCAACAAAAAACGGACTGCTGAACTTGTCTAAAGGTGAGATGGTCCCTTCAGGGTTCTTGCTTTATGAAAGAGTCTGCTAGACATTCTGCAAGACACAGATGAAAGTGACCAACAAATTGCCAAAATAGGTGGAACTGTCTTTGAAATTTCCTGCTTCATGGAAAAGTCTGTCAGACACTATGGGCCTGTAGGCTGAAAGTTGGATGTCCCAATGTTACAGAACTTTGGGTGACTGTCCAGACAGCAAGAGGTCTCTGTCAAGTCTAGAGTTTTAGAAGTTGCTTACAGTACATTTCTTGTTTACTTAGATAATATTATACTTCTGAAGTCTTTGATGGAGTTGAAGATTAGATAGTCATAATTATAGTTTTCCTTAGTTATGATAAAAGATAATGTATATATGAATATTGTAACTATAACTCTTGCTTGGTAACTGATTTGTTGTATGTAATCTTGCTATGTTAAAATTAAAACGTTCTTTTTGTTTTGATAGAAAAATGGAGGTGGTGTGGGATTTCCCTCTGTATGCTGTGAATACCATTAGTTAATAAAGAAGCTGCTTTGGGCCTAATGCAGCACAGAATAGTGGAAGGTGGGAATTCCAAGCAGAAAGATGTAGAGAGAAAACAGGTAGAGTCAATGAGAAACCATGTAGCCTCCACAGGAGAGAGATGCCAGATACCAGACAGAACCTTACTGGTAGGCCACAACTACATGGTGATACACAGATTAATAGAAATGGTTAATTTAATATATAAGAGCTAGCCAATAAGAAGTGTGAGCAAATAGGCCAAGCAGTATTGTATAATACAGCTTCTATGTGATAATTTTGGGTCTGGGTGGCTGGGAAACAAACAAGCGGCCTCCGACAACAAGCATGAGTTGCCAAGAAGCTTCTGAAAGTCACTAGACAAAGTTTGAAAGTTTGGCTCAATAGTTCTAGGCATCTCCTCACATTATAGAAAACAAATAGAAATCTATGTTAAAGCATAACTTAGGGCTGGTGAATTGTTCAGTATAGTAAAGTCATTTGTTGCCAGTTCTAAGGACTAGAATTTGACCTTTGAGATCCATATATTGGAAAAAAGTAACCGACTCCTTAGGTTGTCCTCTGTCTTACAAGTGTCTTGATTCCAGTTCCAACCTACACACACACACACACACACACACACACACACACACGTGCACGCATGCACACATAGACACCTAAGTAAGTAAGTAAATGAATACAATGTAAAAGATAATTGTATGGTATTGGAAAATTATAAGAAATTTGAATGTCTAACAAAATAAAATAAGTAAGGCATACCATACCCATACAAACTGATATTTCTTTGCAACTCACAGTGAACTTTAAACATATTAAATTTTATGGAAATCTTCAAATGTATGATATAGCAGTAAGTTATATAAGCATGTATAATATCAACTGCATGGAAAGTATGACACTGAAGATTATAAAAATAGAATAAAGACATATAAATACCAAGATATTAGATCTGAATAAGACAAAGTCTTTAAATTTTGTTCTGCTGAGGTTCATAGGCCGCTAATTATCAATAATAAACATTACTTTTATACTAGTAAAATATTAACTGGTAAAGTAGAGGTGAAAGAAAAAATTGTAAAGTACCATATGGAAATCATAAATCTAACTTTGAGAAATAAATTAATTCAGTCACACATAAAACCCACTAGGTGTGCCTACAGAGAACACACTCTGCCTCCTCATTAGGGTACACAGGGTCTCTTTCATCCCATTACTCTAGGATCTACACAGTAATTCAGTAACACATTTTTAATCATCTTGGTAAAACTTTTTAAATTATGCAGAGTGAAATGATGGCAAGAACAACTCAGGACTGAAAATCTGTTGTATCTAGTATAGACTAATTTATTCACTAAGCCAGCAACATTCAATGAGCATCTACTGTGTGCAAGGTGATGCATTTATCACCATCATGTGTTAAAAGATAAGAGAAGAACATATCCCCACAGTGCCAACTATTTAAAAGCTCTAAACATACGTAGGAAAAGTTCAAACACAGATAAAACAGAACACAGCTCAAGGTATTTCTGAGAGCTTATAAATTTTAGAAGAATGTGTATGCTACATCTATTATTTTATATTGTAGAATGAAATTTTACATATAGGTAACATTGGCTAAACGCCCAGACTTATTAGTATTCATCACTTACAAAGTGCAGTCATAAATTAGGTTAAATATTTAAATTTTTATTTATGTGATTTGTATCATGTTGCTGGGGAT